CTCCCGAGTCTATCTGAACTCCCATGTCCAGCCCTCTGAGAAGTCACTCGTTTCCCCAGGATTTCCCCCAATGTCGCTCCTTGTGCTGGAGCAGCCCCCTTTCTGAGGCAGAGGGTGGGGCCCCCACACCCAGCAGTCACCTGCCACTTAGCATCGCCATCGGGAGGACACCTCTCCACCTCCCAAGGTAGTGGGGAAGGCGAATTCTGCTATGGAATTGGGAACAAGAAAAAAAAATGTAATCTGGGCTTAGAAATGTTTCTTTCCTTATGTAGCTAGCCCCCACCCCAACCAATGGAACAAAATTTTGTCAGATCTGTTTCTTGCCACTGGATGTTTAAGCTCTTCGTGGCTATCGGTCACGGGCCACCCAAAGCCGTGTTTTGTGTGTTGGCCACGGAGCTCCCCCTTTCTGATGGAGCCGCACGGCCCAGGTGACCCGGGCGACCTGTGGCCCCCGCACTGTGGTCTCACTCCCCTCCGGCCGGTCAGCCTCCCTCCCTCCGGGGAAGCTGGAGCCGGCCACCTCCTGCCCACGATCAGCTCTCAGTTGTTTGTGATTTTCTTGCAAAATAAATACTGAGGCTGTAATTTCTCATGCTCGTTCTCAGCCTCAGGAGTGTATTCTATTGTTGTTTTTAGATAAAGAGTTCAAACACGTCTGCTTGGAGGAGCTTGTATCAGTGGGAGCATGTATGTTAACCCATATGTCCGCAGTTAAACTTCTCAGGCATATTTTATGCTTCGTGTCCACATACCCCTTTCAAAAGCAAGTACTTAAACTTCAGTGAGGGATTCATGACAAGAATTCATTTTCCCTTCTCTCTGCTTTTTGATTCCTATCTTGGTCACTCCTCTTTTTCTGAGAAATAGTGTAGCAAATTAGGATCTAGACTAAGGTGACCAGACATCCCGCTTTTGGTGGGACAGTCCTGATTTTTAACAATTTGTCCCACGTCCCATGGTGTGTTTAAAAAAAAAAAAAAAGTCCAGATTTTTGGGAAAAAATCGGGACTTTTTAAAAAAACACACCACGGGACGTGGGACAAATTGTTAAAAATCGGGATGTCTGGTCACCTTAATCTAGACAGACCTTACTCTGCTGAGAAAAATATCAGGCCTTACTGTTGCCTTCACCCAACTTTGAAGTTGTGCCCGGATCCCTTCACCGTGGGGCAGAGTTACTCTGCAGATGGTACTCCCGTTAACCTTCTTGCCTTCTTTCACTCAGTACAACAACACCGTGCTCAGCAATCTGCCTCTTCAGAATTATCTTCCTAGACCACACTCCCTAGGCATCCTGGTTCAGGAAGTAGCCCCGTCTCCCAGCTGTTCAGTAAGATGCATCGCGGCTACGGGGACCCCTGCCCGGCCCTGTGTGTTTGTCACAGCTCTGCTCCTGCGTGAAGGCAACCTCACAGGATCCTCCCTCGGGGTCATTAAATGGTACCTGCTCCTGAGGTGGTGTGGGGATTAATGAGTTAACTCCTCCCTGCTCCTCTGGGTACCTGCTTCCTCTCCCCCTCTGCCTCCCTAGTGGCAGTCTTCTCTCCTTGCTGCCTTTAAAAGCAGGCTGGTGGCGGGCAGCAGCGGTGGGGTCTGTTTCCAGTTTGAACCTTGTAAATTACCGAGGGTGCAGAAGTAACAGGAATGGTTCGGCTGGCCCTTGTGAAGCAGGAGGGGGTCAGGGCTGGACTTCCTCAGTAAAACCTTTGTGGACTTTACAACCCAAACACCTCCACAGCCACCCGGGGCTCAGATGTGAGCCCGCCCTCCCGCCCTCCTGTCTGCTGCTTTTCTTTCTCCCCCTGTATTGCTGTGCCTTCACTTGCTGTCTCCCTGCCACTCTGCCTCCCAACTTTTCTCCCTTCCTTCCCTTTTTTCCTTCCATGCTTCGTCCTTCCTCGGGGCAGAAAAGGAACACGTGTCCCCAAAGCCCTTAAGGAACGGAGGAAACGAGAGGGTGTCAGGAACAATCAAGTTCCCTACGTTCCTATAATGGTAATTCATGCAGAGTCCTCAATAAATATGTTTTCTTGTTAGATGCAAAGGAGGCCATTAAAACAAGTATCTGGGAAACTTAGAGGGCACCAAAAGCTTGCTGTTTTTGGTATGAACTCTTTTCTAGAAATAACTTAAAATTCCTCACTGTTCTACATCACCCATGTTCTAACTCCATTAAGCAAGCATCCACTGGGTACAGGGAACTGATAGAAAATGTGTGAAAAGGCTCAGCCTCTTGCTCAGTAGTTTCATGTCAACCTGTGGATCAGCAGGTCACGGTTTGATTTCCGGCCAGGGCTCGGCCTCCTGTGCGGGATGTACGGGAGGCAGCCAATCGATGATTCTCTCTCATCATTGATATTTCTATCTCTCTCTCCCTCTTTCTTATATATTTAAAATGAAAGAAAAAAATGTGTGAAAAGGCTACTCTTGTGGTTAAAAGCACAGAGCTGGGTTTCATTCTAGGCCTGTAGTTATGTGAACTAACCCCTGGAACCCAGTGTTCTCACCTGTAAGATGGGGATCACACTCCCCACTTTATAGTGTTTTTATGAAGATTTAAAAAAAAAAAATACACCCCCCCCCCCGCAAAAAACTTAGCAAGGATCCTGTAGTGACCACAGCCCTGCCTCACGCCCCCGCCCCCTCACACCTGTCCCCAGTCACCTCCATTCACATCCTTCCCAGATGTCCTTAATTTCACTTTGCTGATAACATGGCCCTTCGATTTACTGAATTGTCAAAAAAAAAAAAAAAAAAAAAAAAAAAAAAAAAAAAAGCGCGAAAGCTCTCTCTATATACCAAGAGGACAATATTTCATTTTGCCAAGGAAAAACTCTTGAAAAGCGTCTTTCAAACTTTTCTCTCAAACCTTTTATAGAAAATGTCCCTTGTCCTTTCCCAGAGCGAAGGAGAAGCCTCCGATGTGGGAGACCCAGGGCACAGGGAGAGATGGCAAGGCACAGGGGAAGAACTCCTCCTTGGAAAACATCCCGAACATGTGTGGGGCTGGTCCTCCGTCTGGCCTGGAGGAGCTTGCTGGGCTGAGCGATGTGCCCTCTTGCCTCCAGCAGCCGGGGGAAAGCCCAGGGCAAAGGAGCTTGGAGGAGGGAGAGGTTTAGGCAAACCCTGAGCACAGAGCAAGAGCCCAGCCTTTATCCTGTGTGTCGTGTCCAGAGTGATGATGGTTGAAGAGCTGAGGACCTGCTCCCGCAGCCGACAGCGCAGGCTGGCAGAGCCCCAGACGGGGCACACAACGCATCGCTCAGCTGGGGCAGGTAACTCCTTCCCTGAGCTTTCCGTGGTGGAGTCTTTGAAAGAGTCGTTTGTTAGATAAACTGGCCTAGAAGGGTTAACATTGTGAGTGGATGTCACCCTCCTGGCAATGACTCCTGGTATTCCCACCTGTGCGTGATTCAGGACGCTGCATCCACTGTGGATGGCCTGCATGCTGCCTTCCTGTAAGGTGACCAGATGTGCCGCTTTTGGCGGGACAGCACCAATTTTTAACAATTTGTCCTGCATCCCGGTGCGGTTTTTTTGTTTGTTTGTTTGTTTGTTTGTTTGTTTGTTTGTTTGTTTTTAAAGATTTTTTCCCCAAAAATCAGAACTTTTTTAAAACGCCGCAGGACAAATAGTTAAAAATCAGGATGGTCCCGCCAAAAACGGGACATCTGGTCACCTTACACTGTCACCTGGAGCTCACTCCAGGGCCTCCCTGTCCAACCAGGATGTCCCCCACCTTCCTTCTTGGCCTAATGTGTTCGTGCAGCAGTGGCAGCAACATCGCGGTTTAGGCCGTGACAGAAGTGTGTGCGCGCGTGTACACCCGCCTCCCTAGGATTTTGATGACTCCTTCAAGGACGGTAGCTTAAAGGAGCCTTACAGATTCAACACGGTGGCCGGGGAGGAGTCCAGGTCCAAGGCGAGGCGGGGAGAGGGCGGCTGGGAGCTGAGCTAGGCCGTGGGGCGGCTGGAGGTGCCGTGAAGGCTGGGCCCCACGGGGATGCTGTTCTGGGCGGAGAGGCAGCCTGGTCGGTCAGTCAGTCTCTGGGGTGCAGATTCTGTGGAAATAAAAAGGCGGGAATTCCAGCCCCCGGGGAGAGAAGGCGGGGCCTTGGCCGATGTGTGGCTTTTATATGTTGTGGGACCAGAAGTTACAGGCAGGCTGGGGAGGGGTGGTTGATTCTAAGAATAAAGAAGTTCACAGAGATACAGGGATGGGGTTGGTGAGTCCCTGAGGCTTTAGGTCTCAGTTGCCAAGATCCCTAAACCAGAGGCTCTGACGCACTGGAGGGATGCAGCGCTGTCCACCGTGGTCTGTGCCGGCGGCACGTGGCTGCAGACCTCCTTCCTCCTGTCTGTGCTGGGTGCTCACTGCCCCTGAGTCCCTGCTGCTGTAGCTGCATCGGGCAAGGCTCAGCATTCTTATTTATTTATTTTTTAATATATTTTATTGATTTTTTTACAGAGAGGAAGAGAGAGGGAAAGTTGCACACCCCCTACTGGGGATGTGCCCACAACCAAGGTACATGCCCTTGACCAGAATCGAACCCGGGACCTTCCAGTCCACAGGCTGATGCTCTATCCACTGAGCCAAACCGGTTTCAGCAAGGCTCAGGATTCTTACCATCACACAATCGCCTTCTGGCTCCAGATGGGGATAGCTTAGAACATCTTTTGAATGAGACATGGCATAAGCATGGTCTTGGGCCTTCCAGCAGCACAACAAGCCAGCACTCAGAGTGTCCAGCGTGTCTGATGGAAGCAGGGGGTGCAGGGACCAACCGGGCTCTGGCTACCACATGGGCATCCCAGGCCTTCTCACCACAGTCTCTCTCTCTCTCTCTCTCTCTCTCTCTCTCTCTCTCTCTCTCTCTCTCTCTCCTCTCTCCCATGACAGAGTGTTGTGGAGGACCGCAGAATCTCTTCAGGTGACTGGTGGCTTATGGGACGTTGGCCTCGGACCCTCTGTCACACACCTGCCGCGCGGGACGATGACGACTCAGAGAGGAGGGAGGCCGGAGGTCACGCTCGCCTGCCTCCTCTTGGCCGCAGCAGGCTGCTTCGCCGACCTGTGTGAGTCCGCCCTCCCCTTTCTCGGTCGGCCTGCCCTTCTCGGGAGGACGCTTTCCCCTTCCTGCCAGATGGAGGCGCTGCACCTTCTACCACAGCCCTTCCGAAAGCCCTTCCTCTTTCGGGTTTTCAGAGAACACTCGCTCCCACTGGTTCGGGGACACGCTCAATAACACACGATGAGAAATGATCCCAGCAGCACCACAGGGCTTATCGTTGGGTATTTTAATCATTTCCGGCCCAGACCAGAGGAGGAGGAACAATGAAGGTCACTGCCTTGTTCTGATCACTATTACCTGAGATTGTGGCAGGCGGTTTACAGTGCGTGGGCTTCACAGCTGCCCTGTGAGAAGTATTATTAGCCCCGTTTTACAGATAAGAAACTGAAACTCTAAAAGGCCAACGCCACATGGCTCAGAAGCCTGGTGCGGGGATTCAGATTCAGGTCTGTCCAACCCTGAGTGCTCCCCTTGGCAGCCACAGCCACTCCCTTCCGCGCCCCCCCCAATCCCCCCCCCCGCCCCCCGGTGAGCACAGGCTGGGGAGAGCACCCTGGTCTTCCGGGAAAGATCCGCTCCTCCGGTTGCCCAGCTCGGGAAGGCTGCCTGAGCAGTGCTTCTCACGGTTCTGCGGTGGGAGCCCCGGGAGCGTCGCTTCATGGCCGCCTCTGTTCCTCTTGCAGACGCGGTGCCCCAGGTCACCGTGCAGCCCCCCTCCACCGTCCAGAAGCTCGGGGGAGCCGTGATCCTGGGCTGCGTGGTGGAGCCGCCGGGGCTGAGCATCGCCTGGCGCCTGAACGGCAGGGAGCTGAACAGTTCCGACAATGCCCTCGGCGTCCTCATCACTCGCGGGACGCTGGTCATCCCCACCCTCAGCAACCGCACCGTGGGACGGTACCAGTGCGTGGCCCGGCTGCCCACGGGGGCCGTGGCCAGTGTGCCGGCCACGGTGACACTAGCCAGTGAGTGCTGCCCTTTGCTCCTGTCTCTCCCCCCCTCTCTGTCTCTCTGGTCTCTCTGCCCTCACCCACTCACCCCTCCCCACCATGGATTACCCCCCCACACACCCCGTCATTAGTCTTACCATAAAGGGGTCTTGCATGTGGGAGCTTCCCGGCAGTCCCAGGGGGGGCTGTGTGCCTCTCAAAGCCACTTTGCGAGCAGGGGACATGCACGTCTGGGCCGAGTGTCAGAGCGGAACCTGACCTGGATGAGCTGTTCTGTGGCCCGGGCTGGGCCATGCTGTGTCTTTGCACTTGGTCGCTCTGTGGTTTTAGGTGGTTGTGCCAGATGCTCATGGTCCCCTCCGTCCTCCGAGCTCCGCCCTCAGCATTGACAGGGCTCCATGTGGGCAGAGCAGAGCCCGCCTGCCCGCCTCGCTCTTGGCCACCTGCCTTTCTCTGAAGGGCACGCACATGGCAGATGCCTGGAGTATAAACAGCGGCACACAATGGAGAGGAAACTGCACGCCAGGGGCCAGAGAGAAAGGAAAAGAGGAAGGGAGTAGGTGACGATTCGGTCAGGGAGGCTGCCAGGAGAGGATTTCTTGCTAATCTTACATGTAATCATCCCATGGGTCTACCTGACCCAGGCACCACACACACCTTACTGCCCACGTGGCAAATGAGCCGTGACTGGTTAAATAAAACGTCCGAGGGGGAGAGCCCCCGCCTGCACCCCCACTCTTACGTGCCAGGTCTGGAGCCGGGCTACATGAAGAACACACCCGCCCCCCCACCTTCCTGGAGCCTGAAGTGCAGGGTGTGGGGAAACTCAGATTAGTGGTGTTTGGGTTTAAACTGAGGTCTTCAGAGCTCGCTCCCCTGTGGCTCACTCAGCAGTGCCCCCTTCTCCCTGGCAGCCTGCCTTGGGCTTCCATGTCACCACATTGCCACCCTGCCAGGTGAGATGGACCAGGAGCCCGTGGGTCGCACTGGGGGCCCTGGGCAGGTGAGCCCCGGGAGGAGAGCGATGAGGGTGGGGAAGCAGAGAGCAGAGGAGGAAAGACCCCTCTCTCCCCCTGGCTGCCCTCCATGGGAACAGTGGGGCAGTCCTGCCCGTTTCTCAGAAGGGTGGGAGGAAGGGTGGGTCCTGGTCTCCCTCGGAGGCCAGGCCCACCAGCCTGGGCTGCATCTGGGAGCCACTCCCCAGCCTCCATGAGCGCCAGTTTGTGACAGAAGGAGAACCAGGGGATCTGCGTGCTGGCCTGAGGGGGGGGAGGGGATGGTACGCAGTGTGTACATGTGTGTACATGTGTGGGCCGGGGAGAGAGCAGGCTCTGGGCTAATAGCCGAGCTGTGGGTGATTGGAGGGCACAGAGACTTGGGTGAAGGTGGGGAGGATGCAGAGGGCCCATCTCTTCATGAAAGGAAAGGTTGAGGTCAGACCTCCACCTCCTACCATCATACTCCTCCTTATATTTTTAATTATAATTAAGTTACATTATAAAAGGTTTGGAATATATGGAAAACAGTGTTTCTCCTGAGCCCGCATCACACAACCCTAATATCGTTTGGAACACACCCTCCCAGTGTTTCTCCAGACCCACACCTGACACCGCTGACTCCTGAACTGGTGGTCTCTAGCTTTTCTCCCCGTCCCCTTGACATTGTACGACAAGCATGTTGCATTGGCCATGTGACCGTTTTTATTTTGTCCTTTTTATTGAGTATTACATGCACCCGGTAAAGCACGCAAAGTGCGCTAATGTTCAGTGACAACCTGGAGCGGTTCCCACGTGTACACACCGCATACCGTCACTCCAGCAGGTTCCTCGTGCCCCTTCCTGGCTCACTTGCCCCCCGCCCCCAACCAGAGCAGGATCATCCTTCCCCTCGGCCCTGGAACACCCACCAAAAGGCACCAAACCCTTTTCCCATTGCCGGTCAGGTTGCTCCCAGTTGTGCATTCCTACAAACAAGATGTGCGTTTTAGCAACATGTGTGCCTTTGAAGGATAAGGCGGCTCCTTTCGGAGGGAGAGTCCCTCTGCAAATGGCCAGCACATGTCTGAGAGGCGCAAAAACGCCACCACCCTCCGCCTGGCCTCATTAGGAGCCAGGCTGAGCCTTTCCTTGTTTGGAGAAGGAGAGGGCTGGAGAGGAGGAGGTTTGCTTTGGAGCCTTCCTTGTACTTCAAGGTGTATCTATGTGAGGAAAGACAATTTATAGCTTTATTAAAAAAAAAAATTCCTGGCCAGTTTTTTCTCTAACGCTTAAAGGGATCTGCAGTTGGCAGTGAGGACAAAGGGAAGGGTTTGGTTGCAACCCAAAAAGGCACAGCGAGAGAAGAAGGGGCTTGTGCAGGAGCCAACTGAGTCTTGTTGGAAAGCCAAGAGCTATTGGCTTGTCATTTAGACACGAATCAGGAGTGAAATGTTTGGGCCTGACTAGGAGGACGGAGAGGCTCTAGAAACTGGGGGAACGGGCGTGGAGGGGTTGTGTCATGGAGAACAGGGAGTCGGTGGAGTGGGACTGCAGCCTCCCACTTTGGAGGAGGCAGCGGGAGAGGCGGGGAAAAGGGGTGCTGTCTTTGGGTTAATGCCATGGGGCATTTGGCCCAGGCTCAGCAGTTAGATTAAGTTTCCTAAAGCACATTCCTGAGCAGAATGGGGGCTGTGTTTTGCTGGTTGGCTGGTATACGAGGGAGGCTGAGCAGGAGAAGGGATTACCAGAGGCCTCGCCTGCGTTTGGAAGCAAGGCTGGGCAGTGGCGTGCTGGTGTGCACGCACGCACGCACACCCCACACAGCTCGAGACTTCCTTTTCCTCAGGCCTCCTCTGCGCGTGTCCAGATGTTCATCCTCTGACAAAGCATTTGTTGTGTGGCCTACCTGGCAAGACTGCCTTCTGCATCTCGGTGAACTGGAGATCCCCGGGGAGATTTGGATGATTGGGGCTAGGGCCTGGCAGGAGGATTTGGGGTGTGGAGAGGCCACTAGCAGAGCTTTCCTGGTTCGGACCTCTTCTGCCTGGATGCTGGGAGATGGGGATTGCACCGGGACTTCATCCCGACTTGGTGACATGGCTTCTGGTCTTCAGGTAGAATGTTACCACCTGAAGACTCTCACCTGTACGTTCCTACCCTCCCCCACCCCCGGGTTGCTCTGGCAGTGTGGCAACGGCTGCCTTCCCTCTGTGGAGGTGCCTCCCCAGTTTCCTCTGCAGAGAATTCTGTTCTTATCGAGCCTACATTTTGTTTGTGGTAAACCTCTCCTGCTGCTAATGTCTCACTCCAGACCACCTTACTTAATTCTTGCTTTTTGACATACATGTGACGTTGAGATCCTTGATTCCCTTTACCTTTCTTTTCACAAGCTTTATACTAGGCGCCAAACGCTTGACATGGCTCAAGCGTGCCCACTCTGTGCGTCTGAGCCAACGGCAGGAATTGCCAATGGACGGCACAGTTGTCCGCCCAGGCCCCGACTCAGCCTGAGAAGGGTTCTCACAGCACAGCAGTGCTCACAACCGGTTCACCAGAGCCGACGTGCATGTGACAGCCGCTTCCTGTCCCTTCCCTCTAGTAATCTGCCGTTCAAGTCATTCCCCTCCATAGTTCTTCATTTTCAACTTTTTTCTAGTTTTTATTCCTTAATTCTCCCAATTTTCCTTTCACCCCTCGTTTCCAGCCGAGGTTGGAAATAAATAGGTGGTAGCTGCGTGAGGATTTTTAGTCCTCAAGCTCAGGTGACGTCCTAGGCTGATGCTGGTGTAATTGAGAGTGGGTCTGTCACTCCCTGAGCTACCCTCCCTCTGGCAGCAGCAGGCGGCTGGCAGGACAGGAGGGGGGTGCTCCTTCGGCAGCGCTCTCCCTGACTCTGTGCCTTTGAGGAAAAGTCAGGTGACAAGGCGCTTTGTTACCATAATTTAATTCATAAATATGATGAAGAGCCAAACTGGTCTAAGGGGAAAGAAACTGAAAGAAAAAGAAAAAAAAGATACTGGGTTTAAGTTTTAACCCTGACACTTTGAGTGACTGTGACTTAGAGCAAGCGACCTAATCTGCATCGTCACAACTATGAGATGAGCACAATATATTACATCTTCGCTCTCATGGCTTTTTCTCTGAGGATCAAATGAGAGCATATGTGATGGTATATTTTGAAGCATTTTATACACTCCAGGCGTTTATTCATTCAAACACACGTTTGTGGAGTGTTTTCCTGCAGAGTCTCTGGGCCTGGCTGCCCAGCTCCATCCTGGGAACAGCCCTTGGGAATCCCGAGTCCAGGGTGGCAAAGCGCCAGCTATAGCCAAAACCAAGAGAGAGTATTGCCTGGTTAGGAAGAGAGAGCTCACCCACTTCCTGTGATGTTCTTGACTCCCTATGTACACCTGTTCTCCAGCCTGAGCCCCGCCTCCCAGCTGCCTGTCAGCGCAGCCCGCGGCGTCCCTGCCCCGCTGTCCCTGTGGCCTCTGTTGTACACTGCCGTGCATTCTTCCAGCCAAGCCAGGCTGACCTGCCCCCAGAATGTGAATCCCACAAACAGAAGTCCTGTCTCCTTGAGCTCAGCTGTCGCAACTCTGATCCCCATCGGACACTTCCTTGAGGTCTTCTAGGCTCTGACCCTGAGCCTATAACAGGACATTAAGGGCCACTGTAGACGTTTTTTTCTTCAAGTCATTTGTAGCTCTTTCATCCCTGCTTTAGTCAGGGTTCTACAGAGAAGCAGAACCAGTTTTTCATATAAACGTAGAGGGAAATAGAGACAGGGAAAAGGAGATGAGAAAGAGGTTTAAAAAACTGGCTCCCATTTTGGAGGCTGGGAAGTCCAAAATCCATAGGGACTCAGGACCCCCACGTGGAAAACAGCAAACCATCCATTCTCCAACCCCGGGCTCAGTACTTGGGTGTCTTAGAGAATGGTATCCTGAGAATTGGGGGGTATTTAGAATTCTCAACAGGGCACAGTGAGACCTGAGCCCAATGGCTGAGGTTCTCAGTCTGATGGAGAAGATGGGC